CCGCGGGGGCCGCCGGCCTCCCCTCCGCCGCTCCGCCTGTCGCCCCCCTCCCGACGGCTAGAAGTCGTGTCGGCGCCATGCGGCTCGCGCAGGCGCCCCCTCCGCCCGCAGGCCGCCCCCGGCAGTGAGGGCAGCCGGCCCGAGGTAGTCCCGGCCCTCACGTACGTGTCCGGTGGTTGCCATTGTTCCTCACGGCTGACCCTTGGTATCTTGGCAAGCCCTGAGCTCTGAAGAAGCTGAGAAGCGGCTTGAAGCCTTTTTCTGGTTCTTAGGATTGTAACTAGATCTCCCCTATCAGGGGTTCTTCCTTCACATATAGTTTCTGGTTTTGCGTTGGCAAAACCTAAACTTTTAGTTCTTGAGAGTTAACTTGTTAATGCTCGAGTTCTTTTGTCTTCACTAAAATAATGAATATATGACAGGTCGTATTGGTCTTAAGATTCAGACCAACCTAGGAGCTTTTCTTTTTTGTTTTTTTCCTTGGAAGCTTGCTATTGCATATGGTTTATCATGGTTAACAGAGGCTTAATCTCTGTGCACAAGAATCATCAGGCATTCAGACTTAACTCCTTGTTTTATAGTAGCAGCCCAGCTGTAGTGCAGGCCTGTCAAGACATATAGTCAGAATATATATATATATATATATTTATTTGCAGGTACAACATGCAAGTAAGCAAATTGCCGCTGATAAGCAGTACAAGGGTATCATCGACTGTGTAGTCCGTATTCCAAAGGAACAAGGAGTGCTGTCTTTCTGGCGAGGAAACTTGGCAAATGTCATCAGATACTTCCCAACTCAGGCTCTCAACTTTGCCTTCAAGGATAAGTATAAGCAGGTGTTCTTGGGAGGTGTAGACAAGCACACTCAATTCTGGAGATATTTTGCTGGTAACCTGGCTTCTGGTGGTGCAGCTGGAGCCACATCCCTCTGCTTTGTCTACCCCTTGGATTTTGCAAGAACCCGTTTGGCTGCTGATGTTGGAAAAGCTGGCGCAGACAGAGAATTCTCTGGTCTTGGGGACTGCCTAGTCAAAATCACCAAGTCTGATGGTCTGCGTGGCTTGTATCAGGGGTTCAATGTTTCTGTGCAAGGCATCATCATCTATAGAGCTGCCTACTTTGGGATCTATGATACAGCAAAAGGTAACACTTCAGAGGGGATCTGATAAACCTGTTTTCAGGATTGTATTGTCTGTGGCCGTTCTTAGATGTTACTCTGTGTCTAGTAACTGTGAGCACGGAGGTGGAAGGGGATATTGGTGTCAACATCAGTGACACTGCAGTGTTCAGGACAAAACTCGGGCATGTGTTGGTGGCAGCAGGCTGCTTTAAAATGCTCCTGGTTATGTACTTAAAGGAGTTTCTCCTAATGCCAGCAAAGCATGCTGGTAACCATACACAATTCTAAGTTCTTATTTGTTCTGTGTGTTAGTGTTATATTGGAGCTATTCAAGTGTGTTTAGCAGAATGGGATTGGGCGGTGCTTTTGCAAAGCATGTGTTTGAGCTTGACATTCAGGCATAGAGGTCATTGATACAAGCTTATAGTCTAATGTAATTCACAGGGACGGTGACTTAGTTTAGTGACATTCATTTCTAAAAGGAATAGTTAAGACTTCTTCTCAGGACAGTCTGAAAGTATCCTGGTTCTTAAATGTTAACCTGTTTTCTTTACTGAGAAGAATGTCCTCTGAATTTCCTTAAATGTTTCTTACATGCTTTAGCACGTTTAAAGTTTATCAAGTGTCTTGTTGTAACATCAAAGTATGGCTTCACAATGTTTCATAATAGTTTGTCTAGTGAAGTAGCTGTCATACAGTGAGTGAACGGGAGGAGGATGTACAAGATAAAAAGCTAATTACTTTTTTCATTGCAGGCATGCTCCCAGACCCCAGAAATACTCATATTGTTATCAGTTGGATGATTGCCCAGACGGTGACTGCTGTGGCTGGTGTGGTCTCCTATCCTTTTGATACAGTGCGGCGTAGAATGATGATGCAGTCAGGACGCAAAGGAGGTAGGCTGTTCATTTGTGCAGCTCTTTAACTGAGGTGGACTTTTTTCCCAGTAGTCATCCCTCGGCACGTCCAGTTTCTTGTTCCATAAATCCGACTTAAACTATATTACATTTCAATGATATGAGGAAACGCAGTAGGGCTCAACTTGTGTTTGTCAGGAAGTATGCTGAGGACTTTTCTTTATAGAACAAGAGAGGGACAAACAGACTGCCTGTTTGCAATGACAGATTAACTGAAGGCAATTAGGGGACAGTATACTTGCCAAAAAGAAGGCTTAACATTTTTTGTGACTTGGCTTTTAGTAACTAGCCAGGCAGATAAGAAGTGTTTCTATTGCCTGAACTACTAAGTGTTGTGTTACTGTCTTAAAATGTGGTTTGGGACATCACAGAGTAGCTAGAGGAGTGAGATGGGGCAGTTAAAAACATCTTGGATACAATTACAGGAGTTAAATTACTCTTTGCTCTTTTTCTACAGCTGATATCATGTATTCTGGAACAATTGACTGCTGGAGGAAGATTGCAAGGGATGAGGGAGGAAAGGCGTTCTTCAAGGGTGCATGGTCAAATGTTCTCAGAGGCATGGGGGGTGCTTTTGTGCTTGTGCTGTATGATGAATTCAAGAAAGTAATTTAAACAGCCTAACTAGAGTTGGAAATCAAGTCGAGCAGATCATGTAGAATAACTACCATTATGGACCATTGACCTTCAAGAAATTCCTGTGAGTCTTATTTATCGGAGCCAGATGATATTTGTAGATGGGGCTAGAAACTGACATAGAGGACTGATCCATTTCTCAGTAACATGCATGAAGACACTGAATCTGGCAATTCAGTGTGGTGGTTTTTCTTTTCCAGCATTGAGGAATGAGTGGCGTTGGTTCTGGGTCCAAACTGGCTGGGTCCAATTTAGGCAGAAAGCATTGTTTGCCTGTGGATCAGTCCCCGGTTTCAAGTCCTATCTTCTAGGACCATAAAATTGTATTTGAAAGTACTTGCTAACAAATCATGTTCTTTTCCACTTGTACTGAAGCACTATGTACCATTTTGCACAGCTGAACATCTAGCAATTTTGTTCTTAAATTGGGGCATTCTGCTGTAAAACAATAAACATACTTACTCTGTCTGTGTTGAAATTATTATATAAAAGCTTTGGGAAAGCCTCTTCTGTTTTAAAACTTGTTTCAGATAATGGTTCCTCTGATACACTGCACTCTGTAACAGAATAAGCTTGATTTTTATTTTTTTTTTTTTTTTTAAATAATTGAATGTGAGAACTTGGTGGGGTTGGGGAAGCATGGGCTATACTAATAGAAACCACTCCCATTCTTTGTGCCTGATAGTGTATGATGGGCTGCTGCAAGTGGCTTTTTGCATGATTCTTAGAAACTGAATTGGAACTTCTCATATCATTTAATAACGGATTTTTTTTTTGTTGTAGTAGGAGAACCCAAAGTCCCAAAGACAGTCCAAAAGTACTTGCCCTTTGTAAAACAGCTTAAAATGAAATAATTTTTTAAAAAATAATGTAGAAAGCAACATGGCATTCATGCAAAAACCCAGGAACCTGGTAAATGCCTTCAACTTCTGAGTAACTGATGTATTGTATTCTTGCTGCTGTTTGGAAATGCTGATTCAAGTTACTGTTTGGCCTGATCTGTAGCAGTGGTCAGTACCTCTGTGGAAGGTGAATTTAATCTGAAATGAGGTTCATTCTAAGAGGTGAAGCTGATGGGGTGTGTGAGGAGGAGTATGTGTGCTTCTATGTAGCTGTAAAATAAAGAACAAGGTAGGTCAGCCTTCAATACAAACTGAAGATTGTGAGAAGACCAAAATCAGACTGAATAATTTCTCATACTGCCATTTGAGATAATGTAATATCTCTGTGCTGTTCTTCATATGTATGTAATCTTAATTTTTGTACTTTGTAATCTGCAAAGACATGGTAGGGAGACCAGTAAAGGAAAACAAGGTGTTCATCTTCCGATCATGGTTTTTAAGAACTCTCCCTATATCTTGAGAAGGAAACCATGTCGCTGTATGAGTTACTGAAGGCTGACTGAGCTGTCAAGTTCTTTTGTGTGCCTTCTGAGGTTCCTATTCAAGATGAAGTATTTAAATTAACTGCTTGGCTTTGGCTGATTATTATCTTCTCAAAACATAATTTACCTTTTTTCTTTCACTGTTGCACAAGCACTGCTTTCAACATCTGAATGTGAATGTAAGTACATTGCACAGCTACTTTGTACACATGCTGATAGCAAACTATGTATGTACTGCCAGTGATTGTATCCTGTTCAGTAATGGTAGCTCCCTTTGTGGTGCAGTCAGGTCACTTGATGTTGACCTTGCCAATCAACTTGCTGTTTCAGTTAGAATTACATTTGGGGGGTGTGTGTGTGTGAATTTTTGTCTACGTAACTGCTTAGGTTTGTTTTCTGCATGAGTGGCTTGAAAGGTAGAGATAATGATAGGATACCTCACATAACCTCACAATAAGTGTATGGTGGCCCAGGCTTTGTGAGGAAGAATCAAACATGACCATTACTTGAGCAGCCCCTAAAAGGAGGGGGGAGGGTGTTTTTCACCCTACCTCCCTCCTCTCTTCAGAACTAAGTTTTAACCAGAAGAAATAGGAAAAATCAATGCAAGTGTAGGTGTGTTTTTAAGTGGGACTGCAATTTACCTATGCTGTGTGTTCAGCATGTACTAGTTGGTGTTCTTTTTTTTTTTTTTTTACGGCTTCCCTTAGTCATGCAGCAGCAATTTTCAATATGTGATTATGCAGTGTGGGAACATAAGAGGCAAACAATAAATGAGACTTTTAAAAAAGGCATTTGTTTTCTGCCTTATTGAAATACTTATTGAAATTTATTTATTTTGAAAAACGCTTTTAACAGGAAAAGATCTGGAATTTGTGTAAGAAAATTCTGGCATTGAATCCTATATTGTTTTTAAAAGGCATTGGAAATGGGGCTTGCACACTTTGAAGGGAACAAAGAAAATGCATTGGCATTGGTATGAGGAAATATTTACATTTAAAATCCTGTTCCTAAATCATTGCAGGTTTCATTTCAATTCTCACAGCTGTTATATTGGGGTGGGTTCTTTTAAGATTTAATTAATATCTGTGTTGAGCTAAGTCCATATTAATATTGCAGAGGTTCACATTTGCACTGGAAGTACTGAGCTCATGAAATGGCTGACTGGCAGCCCAGCATTAGTAGTTACTTTTGGCAAGTGTCATTTTATTTCCCAACTTCTGTTTTGCATAAAGTCTATTGAATATACTCTTGACAGTTTGGTATTGCTAGTTGCAAGGCAATTTTAAACATTTTTAGATAGCTAGTTTCTGCTTAAGAAAATACTCAGTATAAAAAAAGTTGAGCTGGGAAAATTAACTGTGGCATTATTAAGTAGTGTTCTCATCCTATAGGAAACCATTATATTCAGAGGAAAGAAGCATCATAATGAAGATGGGAAATAACTTTCTTCTGTGTTGTGGATGAGAGGCCTTGTCTCACATTGCGAAGAAAATCTCAGCAAGGTTTAAGCAAGTCTTCACAGCAGATGTTTGCAGAAAGGCTTAGCTGCCATGTATTATTTCTCTGAGCAGAGGGAAAAGAACAAATTATTTTCTCCACTTTTTTGCCTCTCCTCCATTTTAGGTGGGTTTTTATGGGACAAGTACTTTTATAGTTGTTTATATTAATTTCTAGTCTGGTTTGAAGTACTTGTCAGGAAGATCCATGATTTTGTTTCATGTTGGGGAGTCCAAGTGTGTTTTCTGTTTGGAAAGTTAGGTCATCTCTTCAACTATAGTTATTTCCTCAGTACAGCTTTTTTTTGGTAGATTGACGTATTCTGTCTAAACAGAAAGAAAATTCTGTAATGTGAAATAAGCCACAGAGTCACTGCTGATAAGAGAACATTTCTAAATGTTAAATACGACAGTACCAAAGCCACCTCATCTTGCTGTTTTAATACACTAGAAATGTCTGCAAAGCAGGACAAAACCATTTTAAGGACAGTTAAGGATTGCTTGGCTTTTAACATGTATGATCAGTAGCAGCCATTTGTCAGGGGAAGGAAAAAGAATAAAAGATTGAAATGCTGGACCACCTTAACTGAGACAATAGAAGAAATTTATTCAGTAACTATTGCTGGAATTTTCCATATGTAGGCATTAACTACACTTACAGAGAAATAATTTTGAATGCTATCATATGGTCTTGCATTGCTCAACCTACAGTTCTACAGGAGTGGAAGTTGTTTGATAAGATTGTAGTACAGATACAGTGTTTGGGGCTTAAAATACTCGGGAGTGTAAAAGGGATAGTACTGGCTGAGGCAGGGAGCAGAAGCAAGCTTGCTGTCAGATTGAGGGTATGTTACAGAATATCAAACCAGGATGTCTTGGTGGGGAATTTTGTCTAGGAAGTCTGGGATTAGTAAACACTGCAGGGCTTTGTGGCCATGGTATTTTGTGCTACTCAGCCATTCTCCAAGGAAAACATGCATCTGCACACAGATTCCTGCAAGCTCTTGGAATGTATTTAATTCAGGAAAAGGGCAAAACAGAGTATTAAAATAGTTGAGAATGAGGGTGAGGAAAGCATTTGGGGGGAGAATAACCTAAAAGTAATGAACATTAGTAAAATAAAATGGATTAGAGGAATGCAAGGTGTCTGAGGCCCTGAGTGAATTGATTGGTAGGATCTTAGCCACAGCAAATAGGAAAACTGGTAGTTCTTCAACACAAGTGTTAAAGATACACATGCAAACTTGGAGCAGGAAGGTTAGGATTGTAAATCATGAGGTTTTTCAGTAATCTAAGGAAAAGTTGTGTTGTGAAACAGGATAAAAAGAAAATGTGAAAGGTGGTCATTGAGTAAGTAGGAACAAAATGAGGAAATACGAGCTTTAAAAAGATGTGATTAGCAAAGAACATTACAGGTTTCAAAATAACCCATACATATTAGCACTAAATGCCAGGAGGATAGTCCTGGTATTCAATGGAGGAGAACTCTCCTGAAATAACTTATTTGTGCTTTATTGGCTGCTTTGAAGTATTACACCATTCAGTCAGTGTTAAAGATACCTGAGTGTGGAGAGAAGAGGCAAAATAAAATTAGGCTTTAAGACTAGATTATAATAGGCAACGAAGAGTCTAGAAACTGTTCAGACATGTCAGAGACTTAAAACTTATCTTCACAGTGCCTGTTGGCAGGTGTGAGGCAACCTGAGCTGAGGGCTTCACTTGAACTCTGACAGTGACTGCTGAAAAGTTGCTGCCTGCGTGGAAGTGCCTGTGCCACCCTTTGCAAAACCACATCCACAAATGCTTCTGGGTTGTAGTTGAGCGATTTGAGTAATTCTCGTAGTATATGCACAGGAATTTGGAAGCCCCTCAAGTTTAGTAAAAGCAAGCGATTGGAGAGTCTGCAATTTTTGAAAGGCTGCTTGTGGCTTTACTACCAATTACTATTTAATAACATGATGGACTATGGACTGCTGCTGCTCTAGCATTAGCTCTGACAGACTGATACGAAGTGAGATATCAGGTATTTATGACTTAAGGTGTTTGAGGAAACATTGCTACCTGCCTTCTATTAAAGCCAAAGATGGTAGAACCAAAGACAAGTCAGTCAGGGCAATGTTGCTAAAACTAGAGAGTTGAAGGAAAATTTCTGTCATTTTTGAAAGCCTAATTGAAAAGGGTAGTGTGGTCCACTGAAATGTAGGCAATAAATAACTATCCTGATTTATTGATTTAACCTACATCTTTGCATTAGCCAGTTGATACAAAGCATTCCTCCACTGTGCAGACACTATACAAACCACTGTTCAAATGAACAAATCGAAAGAGAAGCATGAATGGTTTGAAGCCTGGTTGTCATGATGTGAAGAAAGACTGGAAGAGTTAGTTGCTGTTGACAGTGTGCATGTGTGTAAGATACTGTAAACAGGAAAGGAGTAAGGATGAGAAGTAATTGCTTTTAAGTGCCATAAAACAGGCTATTAATAAGCTTTCTAAAAATAAGGTTAATTAAACATTAGAATACACTGCATAGGGATGCTACAGAATATATGTCGAAAACAATTTGCACAAAACATCGAAACTGTCATAGTTAATCCTATGCTGAAGCAAAGAGGAAGGCTAATTAAGCTGCTGAGACTTTTTGGCCCTGTTGATTTTCATGATTCAAGGCAACAGGATTTTTACATGGGTATAGGTCAGACTTAAAAAAATATATATTCACATTGTATTATGATCATTGATATTTGAAAATGCTAATGAAAATGCTTCCTCGCAGGTTATTTTCAAAGTACGAACAGCAATCTAGCAAAACCAGTAGACATAGAAATTACCAGTCTCAGAAAAAGTGATAATTCTAGTCTTAAAATATGGCTACAAATATGTACAGGATAATCACTGGTCTCAGCACTGGCATAGAGCATTTCTGGTTTCAAAACAGCGTAGTTTGCTTGAGAGCAAATTAGCTTTCAATGGATCAAATTTAACACATCTTTATATGCCAGTTCTGGTGTTTGGCCTGTCGTGGTTTATAGTTAACAAATTTGACTGAATTGAAAAGAAAGCATACCTGCATATCTTCATCTGTTGATGCATTAAATTTGTCTCTTGGTTGTGGTACAGGAGAAAATATGCTCTTGAAACTGCAATATCTTTGGGTAGAAAATGAGATTATGAAGAAGTTTATAATACTGGTAATATAACATACACAACATTTTGTGTTGTACCTTAAAGACATTTTTTTACTTTCAAGATTGAATACCTATTGCTCTACAAATCACTAAATGAGAAGTAAAATATTTTTAGTGTAGACTGGTGGGTAACTATTGTTACATTTATCACTTAGGTAACTAAAATTTATTTTGTGATGAGAGTCACAGTAAATACTTTATTAAACAATGACTTTCAATAAATCACATGACATAACTTTCTTCTACCACTAAGAAGTTTTATCAAAATAATGACACGTTCATTTGTCCCGATTCCCTCTTGTCTGGTACTGTGTGAAGCCAATGGCTTCAAAGCTTAAAAGTAAGAACAGAAGTGCTTTTGGAGGATCTGATGGAATCAATCACTTACTAACTTTAATATCATTTCCTCCTTTTTCACGTGTACTGATTTTGCCTGCCAAAGTGCCATCCACAACACTACTGGTAATAATACTTCATGACACTGATAATCAGATTATTTAAGTTTGTAGGTAGGAAGGTAGGAGAAAGGAGGAATGTGTTCCATAGAAATAATACTCTATAATTTCTGCATCAATAAGGTTCATTTACCTTTTGAAAAGACAGTATTGGAGCAGTGTCACTGAGATTGTTCCAAGTGATATCAGAAATAAAATCACAAAAATAAAGTAATCTTTCCCTTGACCTGAAACATCCAAGAGAGAGAAATCTCTTAGCATGCCAAAATGCTGCCTGTGTGCCTGTCAGTTACGAATGCAAATTTCACTTGTTTTTTTTTGAATAATCTGAAGGACTTCAACTTGACTTTTTATAGGACCTTGTAAAAAAGTTCAGGTACCCTTGATGCATTTTAAACCATTTCAAACGTTTAAAATGTGGAGAATTTAAAAAAAAAAAAAAAAAAAAAAAAAAAAAAGAGAGAGAGAAGAAGAAACAGAAGGAAATGAATAACAGAGCAAAAGTGGTGGAACTGTAAAAAGATTGTTGAGGAAAGGGTAAAAAGGAAGATGTGGAAGGAAGGGGATAATATCCATGGCAAAAACTTAAGCAACTAAAAGGCAGCCTCAGAACTTCAGAATGAAGACAAGACTGGGTCTCTCTCAGCCTGTTTCTGTAGCCCTGGTATCTGAGTAACTGCTGCCTTCACAATTCCAACTAATCAAAGACTGGTATCAGCCTTCATTGCCAGTTTCCCACAGTACTGGAGCTTTTCCTCCACATTAATAATTTCCATCTGGTTCCTTCCATGTTACTGGGTAAGCATTAAGATTTTATTCATATCTGTGAATGTTAGGGAGAAAGGTAGTCAAACAAGGTAATAAAAAAAATAAAAAACAAAACACAAACCCAGAAAATCACAATCTTACCAAACTCAATGGGCTCACTCCATTCCCCCCAGTTTGAGCTTACAGGACAGTTTTTTCCCTTTGCTCTGATTTTCAGAATGTATTTTTTTTTCTCATTGTAATTTTGGAATTCATATCTGTAGTTCCTTACCTAAAATCAAAGCAAAGCAGTCAGACTGTTCATTTCACCCCATAGGCAAATACTAATAAAATTTGGGGTTTGATTTCCTGATACAGTTTCTATATATAACAAATTCATATGATTTTGTAGGTGTGCACTAGTTAAACATTCTTCTCCCCAAATTTAAACCCATGATAAATCAGTTCATCCTGCCACTAAATCTGGGGGTTTTTTAAGTTTAAAATTGGATTTTGAAGTTTATTGGATTTTTAATTTATTTTATTATGCTTTAAGGACGCTTGTTTTTCTCCTGTCCTTGTTTATGGATCCTAAAAAAAAAACAGGACAGAAAGCTGAAACTGGAGAAGTACCCTGTATACTCACCTTGCAACCTTTACAGGGATTAATCATGCAAATATGCCTTGGATGGTGTCTGTCTTTGCTAAACAGATTTAATGTTTTAAGACAGTCCAATAACAGATATGTATTATCTGGGCTCATGATAAATTATATGAAGTCTGGAATCTGCCAAGCCTACGGTGATTCCAGGTTTGAGGAACACTCATGTCAGGGGAAGACTGACAGTGTATTAATGTCCACAGGTTTTGAAGATCTCAGCATTCCCTCTGTCTAGCTGTCCTGAACTACAGTGGTATTTTTCCACCAACAGATACAAAAAGGGAATGTTTCCAATTTTTATTAAGCAAAATGTCACATCTGTCTTAAGCAAAATATATTTGTGCAATAAATGGAAAGTATGAAGTTTTGTGAAATGTATGGAAAATTCTGCCTAGTGTAAGCCGTCCCATCCAAAAGGGACATACTAAGCTTACACATAAAGATATCACAGGAACATATTTTTTTTGAGTTTTCATTGTTGTGTTAATACAAAAACTATAGATCTAGAAGTCAGTATATTTTATATAATGGCATTTATATGCTTAAGTGGGCAAAAGCACAAATTTGTATATGACAAGAATACTTACTCTAACAGGAGGATCCTTTTTCTCTTCTTTGGGCTCATCCTGCAAACCAAAGACAAATCTTAATTTTTACTGTTCTCTTGTCAAATAATCAAATTTCTTCCTCCTTTGTTCTCATTTTCTTGCTTATAAACATCATAAGTAATTTTAAACTGAAAAATCAATTGGATATTTTGCTCTAGTAAAAATATAGCACTTTATTCAGGGTTTTCCATTTTAGAAATGGAAAGAAACATGGATTATTTATCAGTGGTTGTGAGAAGTATTTGCCTTGAAGGGCATATTTGTTCTATGCGTTCTCATCCAGCAGAAGTATATCCAAATTATGCAAGCAATCAAATTATCCTCCAAACACAGCAGATCTGGAAGTGTGATTTTACAATAATAGTTTGATAACATGGTGCAAAAAATTGATGTGAACAGCAAATTTATCCTCCTTACAGTCAAAGTCTCTTGTTAGGCATCTGAGGGATTCATACTCAGGGGCCTTCCTCATAATACTGTGAAGAGTTACTTACACATCCCATAAAATCAAAATCTAATTAACTAGAATCAAACACTGACCTGGATCAAAGAACCTGAAAATTTTGAAAAAAGGTAAGTTAAAAAATGAGTGAACAAAATCAACAGCAATAATTTTTTGCAAGGATGGCAGAAAACAATGAAAAGCTGAATTCTTGGAAACATCTATCACGTGTAATGTCAGAAAGATAGCTGACATTATGGAAAAGTCGGAGAGATGTTATTGGATGGAATGTCTCATTTCAGAAAATACACCTGCCATGCATGTTGCATTATAAAGTAGACTAATATTTCCCCATTACTCATTGTCAGCTGATCTCTTTCAACTTAGGACACAATGGAAATCATCATACCATGCTGTGAATGGGGAAGGTGCAAATGAGTTACTTAAGCTTTAGGTGTGCAGTGCCATTTTAGCTGTGTTACCTCTGATGGCCCCTCATGAAAGGTGTGAGTTATATCTGCCATCTCCATGTAGGTACCTCTAGTACCTTCAGTACCTCTAAGGGGAATGAGGACCTACTGCTCAGCACATGAAGCCCTAGATGTGTATTGACTGTTACAGGATATCTGTGCTCCTTTGCAAACAGCTACATTAAGGCATCTCAGTCTTTGAGATGAATTTCACAGCCAAATGTAGGAATCTACTGAACTCCACCCATTCTTGTTGTGGTACGGAAAAGAAGAGGCAATATGTATCTGATAATGTGTTTTGATAATATTGCTTAAGTCATATGTTGTAACTATATCTTTATGTAAAACATTCTAATTATTTCACACAAGATCTCACTGTCAATTTATACCAGCCAGCTGGAAAGCTGTGTGTACTGCAATTGCTCCCTGAAACAGATACCAAGGTATCCCAGGGATGGGGAGGAAGAGTGATATTTCTTGCCTCCTTGTCAAACTTCTGGGCTTAAAGAATTTTCCTGCCCTTTGTCCTTAGGGGTGTTGAAATCAGATCTTTTAGGCACGGAGATCTGTGGAGGAGGATTTGACACCTCGGCCTCTCTGCTCCATCATACTTGATGAAAACCAGACAAACCTCAGCTATAGTAAAGCACACACTCTGTGTTGTTCTATACTTTTCCTGTGATCGCTAGGGTAAGTTGACAGTGCTCTTTCTATAACGTGGAAGACATCTCAATTCACTTTGGTGCATGCATGTTTATATCTGATATAGCCATTTTAGGTTCCTCTCTTATGGCCATCAGAACGAAAGAAGCAGTTTAGGGACACAATCTGCCTGGCGTCTACCTTGGAAGGAGATGGGTAACACCAAACCTGACTGCAGAGAGAGTAGATGATATCTCACTGAGAAGGAAACACATCCATTGCAGATGTCTACCCTGGACCTATGTGAACTTTCCTTTGAGTTGCTGGTATCTAATTTTTCAGAAGAGTGGCTTCTATTTCAGTGCTGTTTTTGGAAGGGAGGTTTTGATGGAAACTGCATAGACAGAGGGGGTTGGGTTGGCTCAACCAGGCTCCAGGGAAAGGACAGCATCTGAAGGAAGGCTGCCAAAGGGCGACAGACAGTGGCAGAGTGTTGGAGAAGTATGGAGGCTGAGGGGTTCAAAACAGTCTCATGTGTTGAAATTGAGGGGCAGCTGTGAGATTTCCAGCACCTGCAAAATGCTGTCAGAGTGGCTGAAGGTGGGGTGCCCTGGGAAGCAGAGTGAGCATGGGGGGCCCTGGCCTGGGCTGGAGGCTGCCACCAGGGCAGCCCCCTGTTGCAGATTGAAGGCTGCCATCTCCTGTGAGATGTGTTCATGCAGGAAAGCACCCCAGGTGCTCCCCCAGTCTTTGGACAGAGACCCCTCATAACATTTCCCTGCTCTCCTCTGTTTTTCTGCTTTGCACCTCTGATTAATTTGAAATAAGCTGTGGGATCCAAGACCAGCAGAGCTGGAGCAGGAGGACACCACAGCTTATGAGAGAAGCTAATAAATAAAGGAAACAGAAGTTTCCACATTATAGATATACATGTATTTATGTATGGTGCCAAAACCAAATAAATAAATTGTTTTTACCTTTTTCTGTATGCTAATTTCATACTGAAAACACTTTGCATGTTCCATATGACTTCTAAGGGGTGGTTGCCATGTTATTATGCAACCTGCTGAATCTCTAGTACAATTGACAGTGACATTTAATGGAGGAGTGAGAATTTCTGGAAAGAAAGAAAGAAAATAATTAATGTAGACATGGTCAGTAATCAGCTACAACTCGTGTTCATAGCAAAATACATGTGAAGTTGAGGCAACTGATATACAACTGATGTCAATGAATGTTATCTAGTAAACATGAGTAAAATATATTAGCAAAACAGGAATATATCACTTCAGTTGTTGGACATCTGAAGTAATTGAAGTTCATATAGAAAAAGTATGAAGGATTTTGTGTAATTCAGTAGTACAATCAGGAGAGTGCCATTTTCTTCTATGTCTAAATTTCATGTTGGCAATTTCTATAGGTATAAAGATGGAAGTTTCTCTGTGTGTGGTATTATTCCTGTAGAAGATCAAGTCATCTGAAATCATCTTAATATACTTGACTACGTGTAACCTAAGTGTCTAACCACTATAGTCAGAAGAGACCTCATCAGTAGTGCCCATGATGCCTGCAAAGCAGTTTGACACACCATTGGGCAAGTGTGCTTGTCTGAATAGCTCTGGGCATTGCAGCCTGCATCAGCTTCGGCAGGAGTTGGTCTTACACTGGGCATTTCAGACCACACAGGACACCCAGGAGGACCCTGGTCTCTGGACCACAGGTACTGGACCACATCTGCAAGCCTTGCGGATGCCTCAAGTGTCTGAGGGTGTCTCAAATGGCACTAGAGGCATGTTTTTAGGCAACTGAATACTGTCCCAGATCTCTATTGGAGCTTAAACACATAGTTTACACATAACTACTCACATATTTAAATAATGCAGTCTTAATTTGCAAGTTGAACCCTCCCTCTGGTTTTAGGACATGTAGCTCTTGTGGCTCACAGAGAGGTGTGGAATTAAAGATTGGCAAAATGAGCCCATCAGAAAAGTGGCCTTGAAAGATTAACCACTGTAGTTCATCACTTGGATTCCGTGGATATGTTCACATCACTTCTCTAAGAAGTTATTTCAGGGTGCCTCTGCCTTTGCTTGTTTTAGTTAATTTTTGGAACTATATTCTGTCAGCTATCAGGAGCAAAGTCTGTCCTGCAGTGCAGGATCCTGCAATGGCTACAAACATTTTATTCTTCTTTTATTTTCAGAGAAACATTCCCCACTTCCTTATTTCATAAAACAGTAATAAAATAAAAATATTCACTTACCAATTTTATACAGTTCAATGTACTCATCATAGAACTGGATCAAGGAGTCTTTGCTAGACCCATTCACCAGGAAGTAAGCTCCTTCAGTCTTTATCATCACATTTTGGAATCTACATCCTGTGTTTCTGCCATTTTCATCTTTAATGTAAAGCTCACATTCCATCACATCATTGTCTCTGTATATAGCAAGGCATTTTAGTTAAACGTGGGCAGTGTGATGTGTCAAATGAGAATTCAGACTTTCCTAGACTCAAGCATTCCTACTTACCTCGAGTTCTGCCAGTAGAGAAAATATTGGGTATCTCCTGGAGCATCCCTGCCTGCCTGCCAAGTGCACTTCATGAGGGAAATGTTATAAATCACACAGGAGAAGTTTTCAATGGCTGACCCATTCATGCCTGCAAACACAGGAATATCCATGATGAGGAAAAATCGTGTGACTGCTCCAAACTGAAGGATCTTGTGCATGCTTAGATGTGTTAGACACCTGCAATTGCAGCTGATTATTGCTTCAGTTAGGAATGACAGCTGGGAGGAAGCTGAACTCTCATCCTATTTTGACTGTCTCTGATATGTGAAACCTGGGAGCAAGTAGAGCATTCAACAGGTAAAGGGAGGCACATTGTCTTTTAACACCATCCTTGGTGCTACAGAGTAGTATCTCTCCTTTTGCAATTAATGCCCAGGAATCCACTCCTGTTTACACACAGCATTTAAAAAGCTTGAACTTTTAAAAGTAAGGTTGGGCTTTTTTCTGCCTGCCAATCAAACAGCTCTATCTTTCTACCCTGATGCAGGCAACAGTGATTTGACCTCTTCCTTTTCTGGAGGACATTGAAGTGGGAACTTCATTTCTTTGGAACCTCCCTTGTGGCTCAGCTGTGCAGGCATGCTCAGCCTCCGTCTCTCTTCTCCTTCAGCCAATTTTTAGCTTCTTTTTGTGGTGTGCCCCAACTTCAGCGAAAGGGTGGAGGCTTCTTCTACCACTGCCTCCAGCGCCCAATATTGAGGGCATCCTGTGGAAGCAAGGGGGAATCCCCTGGAGAACCTGCATGCTTGGAGGCTAAGGCCACCTGGGGAGGAACACCAAAAGCAAGAGGTTTTTTCAAGAGGCAATGTGTCCTGGCTTATATTTTGAGGGTCACCGTGAGAGTGTTTCCTCTGTCAAGTCCCTAGGAAGAGATGAGTTTCCCTCTTTCTCTGCTCAGATATAAGCAAGCTGCTAATCTTGTCATCTCTGTCAAGTCTGAAATAGCCCAGTTCTGCACAGATGCAGGAGCACTGGTGACTTGGCAGCTTTAGTGGAGGAGAACTCTGACTTGAGAAGGAAGAGGAAAATGGACTGTAAAACTTCAGATTTGGAATTATGAATTTAGGATCTGCCTAAATCCCACTCGAATAACTCCCATATGTCAGAATGTCTTTGTAAACAGTTTCATGTGTGCACAGCAGCTGAGGGAGCACACATGTCTGTGTGTGTGTGTGACCATCAGAAGTAGGGAGGTGATAGTCCCCTGTACTCTGCACTGGTGAGGCCACACCTGGAGTATTGTGTCCAGTTTTGGGCACCTCAATATGAGAGAGATATCAAGGAGCTGGAGTGAGTGCAGAGGAGGGCAACAAAGCTGGTGAAGGGCCTGGAGAACAGATCCTATGAGGAGCGATTGAAGGAGCTGTGAGTGTTCAGTTTGAGGAGGAGAAGGCTGAGGGGAGACCTCATCACTCTCTACAACTACCTGAAAGGACATTGTAGAGAGGTTGGGGCTGGTCTCTTCTCACAGGTGATTAGCAATAGAACAAGAGGGAACGGCTTTAAACTGCATCAGGGGAGGTTCAGACTGGACATTAGGAAAAAAAAAAATTCACAGAAAGAGTGGTCAGACAGTGGAATAGGCTGGCCAGGGATGTGGTGGAGTCACCATCCCTGGATGTGTTTTATAAAAGATGTTGGGAGATATGGTGTCAGGAAGAACTTTGTAGAGTAGGGCTAATGGTTGGACTTGATCATCCCAAGGGTCTTTTCCAACCTGAATGATTCTGTGATTCTATGTGTGTGTGTGTGTGTGTGTGTGTGCGCACGCGCGCACGCACATGTGAATGTGCACACCAGGGCCAGATTAGGAGATTTCTACGTTCGGTTTGCCTCTAGCTGCTTATCACTGGCATTTTTGTTCCTCTCCTCCCATTTTATGAGTTTCACTGTTCTGGAGACTGTGCCTTAGCTAGCTCTATGGTCTGGCTCCTGACAAACTCACCAGCAGCCCAGCAGAAAAACATTTAATAAAGAAATGGACACTAACATCTTAATTTGTAAGCCAGAACAGTTATTTAAATCCACCCTCAAACCACTGTAATTTAGTGGCATTTTGGAGCCCTAGTATGAAAGAGAATAATGCAATTACTGATACATTTGTAGTAATGCATGACTTGCAGAATTGTGGGACTATTCATTATAAAGCAAATTATTTTAGCAGATCTGCAAAAGATCATTTTAAATAGTTAACTACTGTGTAAGGAATTGTTTTCTAAGGCAATGTTTATCTTTAAAAATTGCAAATGGAGAAAACCTTACCCAGACTATAGACATTACCTCCAGGGATAAAGGTGCAATTCTTTGAGATGTTTGTGTTTGGCACTTCAATGATAAAGAATACCCCTTTGTGCAGAGACATGTCTTGTTCCATTGGATACCTGCATAGTGGACTATTTACCTGGAAAAAAAAAAAAAAAAAAAACAAGTTCATGTTTTATTTCTCTGTTTTTCTTCTGCTGGTGTTAGATGATGGTGGCTATGGAATTTCAACTCAAAAATTCAATTCATAGGGCCAAAATCTTGCCTGTATATGTACGTGTTTTAGGCTCAAGAGCAAACTCTGTCCTGTACCACTTGAGGATGATGTAGGAGCTGAGTGATCAAAACCAGAACTACACAAAAAAGTTTGCAGCTCAGAAGTTGGATGCTACACTAGTGTGCAACTATTAGAGAAGGCTAATAATACCCCAGTGGCATAACAGAAGATGGTTAATAAATAGAGGAACCACAATAGAATTTAGTCAAAAGATTAGGCAAAATAGAATTCCTTGTCTGACCTCCCCAGGGGTCAGAAAGGTGTCTACAGCATTACACTCATAATCTTCAGTAAAGGTGTGATGTGTTTTTGTAATATGTATTTCTAATTAAGGCATTGGCTTTGCTAGGCTAAATAAGCTTATCTGTATCTCTCTGTCAAGCTTTCTACTTTTCTCTTTGGATAATGTGCATTTATAACACAACCTGTGCTACAGGCATGATCCAGTTTACTGGGAAACAAGGAAAGAACTTGAGATAATGAAAATCCATGGCAGTGTTTGGGGAATTAATTTTTTTAATTCAGAAGGTCTCTTGCTCTGTCTCTAAATTCTCTAGGAGTCTCAGTCTCACAGCCCCCTTTTTTCAGCAGCGATTTCCCTATTCATGATTCAACATAGGTAAAGTTCAGCCTATCACCTCCTTTCCATTTTGGAACCAGAACTTCAGTTCTGTGGTATGCACAGGGTGCTCCTCCTGCAGCAAATGCACCCAGGCATTGGTGATGGCTTCCCACAGCCCCTGACAGATCAAGCTATAGACTGCAAACAATCACTGATCAGATTTTACCTGCAACTGATTCATTTTTTTCAAAGTAAGTGTAATTGATAAAAGGTAAAGGTGCGATTATTTATCTCAACGAATATCAAGTTTACCTTTATGTCTATATTTTCCATGTTCCTGTTTATGATGGTACATTTGTACTCAGAGAAGTTCTTGCTGCTCTCCCAGTTCAATCTCATTTTTCTCCAGTTCATTTTCACATTTGTAATAGGTGATTCTTGTGCCTCTGCTGCAAGTGTTACAGAATCAGTTCAGTAAAAATACACTATTGTTTTTGTTGAATGCAGAGGATAGTATCTGTCAGGCCTAACATGATAATTGCCAAATTAATTACATATATCTCTGATAAATGAATTAAACTCTGTTTCTCAGATTATATCTGCAAAAATGTACTTACACCCCATACACTGGATGTCAGCATGCAAGGGATGAAATAGCAGCATACACCACCAAATCATACAAATGAGTCCAAGAATATCAAACATATTTTCTTCTCTGGAAAGTGAGAATGAAATCCTCAGGAAAAAAACAAGAAAAAAGAAAAATTATGCCAAAGTGTACTTTGGTTTCTGCAAACTTTTTCTTTATTTTCATTGAAGGAGTCAAAGATGCTGTCTAATTCATCCCTAGAAAAAAAAATCTTTAAAAAAAACAAGCAGAGGGTATGCATTTTTTTGCATACCTCCATCTTCTTTGAAAGAACTGTACAGGCTCACTACTGTCTATTACAACACAGCAGTTTGAGATAGAGAGGCCACGGACTGTCATTATGATATGTACAGTCATGCTCAACGAATGATACATTCACTGTATTTGGTGCAGAGACCACGATTTAGGATTACTGTTGTCCCACGTATCTATCCTAACCATTCGATCAGAAAGTCAGGTTTTCTTGCTTTCTGATCCTGTGAACATCACTGCAGATTTTCCTACTCAGTGCTCCAGCTTCTGCTGCAAAGCGAGCATTTAGACTGGTTTTCAACCATTTGTTGAAGGCATCTTTTGGGAAGTGGGTGGTCTGGCTTTTTGTTGTGTCAGGCTGTGAATGACTCACTTCTCTGTGAATGCTCTGTTAAAGCCAGCATCACCGCACCAGGCATGTTCAGAGCCTATACCTGCTCCTGCCAGCATGTGTTAGGAGTGCATGGAAAATGTCCGTGAGATCTGAACTAAGCAAAGCAGGAAGAGAAAGGTCTCAATCTCTGTCAAGTTTTAGCAGGAATTAAATGCTGACCTGCTTACCTTTATTTTGACTATGGCAAATCTACAGTCTTTTTTCAAAGTCTTTTGGGACTTATTTCAAGATTTCATGTAGTAAGAACTTAATAGCCCTTAAAATAATACTTAGAGCAATGCCCTGAATCATTTCTCATTCTTTTCCTGGAGGCCAAGATCAAAGCTGACTGTGGACATATCATTGGTTTTGCATGTTATTTACCAATTTAGTGCTATTTTCTATCATCTTTTCATTTTCTGACCACAGATCAGCTAAGAACAGCTTTCCATTCAGAAAGATACCTTAGGAGCTGGAATTTTGATGGGGCCTTTCCAAAGGCTATTTGGCACTGGATAGCCCTGGTTTCAGCTGCTTTTCCATTGTCCTGAATATCCCAAATAGCAGCATTTACCATAAACTTGATTACACTTCTGTCAGTTCCTGACTAACTTGAACAATTTTTTTTTAATATGTTGTCCCTCACATCTCACCTCTTTTCATGGAAATATACTAATATTAGTATATTCCATAATACTAGTATATACTAATACATACTAAAGGATCCCAATTGTTAGGTGTAGTTTGCTGTATCTCACTATTAAAGATGATAATTTTTTCTACACTTTCCTTGCTATCATCATAGAACGGTTTGAGTTGGAGGGCACCTTAAGGATTATCTGTGGGCAGAGGCACCTTCCACTAGACCAGGCTGCTCAAAGCCCCGTCCAACCCAGCCTTGAACACTGCCAGGGAGGGGGCAGCCACAACTGCTCGGGGAAAATTGTTCCAGTGCCTCACCTTCCTCACAGTAAAGAATTTCTTCCTTATGTGTAATCTAAATCTACCCTCTTTCAGTTTAAAATGGTTATCCCTTGTCCTATCACTACATTCCCTGATACAGAGTCCCTCCCCATCTTTTCTGTCTCCCCAGAGCCTTCTCTTCTTCAGACTGAACAACCCCAACTCTCTCAGCCTGTCCTCATAAGGGAGGTGCTCCAGCCCCCGATCATCTTCATGGCCGTCTTCTGATCTCACTCCAACAGGTCTATGTCCTTCCTATGTCAGGGACCCCAAAGCGGAACACAGTGCTCCAGGTGGGGTCTCATGAGAGCAGAGTATAGGGGAGAATCACATCTTCCATGTGCCCTAGCATAGTTTCCAGGAGAATTCGCTCTGTGACCTTGCTGGGCACAGAGGTGAGACTGACTGTCCTATAGTTCCCTGGGTCTTTTGTATGTCCCTTTTTAAAAATGGGGTTATCTTTCCCTTTTTTTCAGTCAGCAGGAACTTCACTGCACTACTACGACTTCTCAAATATGATAGAGAGTGGCATAGCTACTTCATCTGCCAGTTCCCTCAGGACCTGCAAATGCATCTCATCAGGTGCCATGGACTTTTGCACCTTCAAGTTCCTTAGATGGTCTCGAACCTGATCTTCTTCTGCAGTGGGAAGTTCTTCATTCTCCCAGTCCATGCCTTTGTCTCCTGTGACTTGGCCAGTGCGGCTGGAGCCCTTAGTGGTGAAGACTGAGGCAAAAAGTTGTTGAGTACCCCAGCCTTTTCCATTTTCTGGATAACTGGGTTTCTCATTTCCTTCCAGAGAGAGCTGATATACCTATAGTAGCTTTTCTTGTTGCTCTTGATGTCCCTGGCCAGATTTAATTCCATCAGAGCTTTGGCCTTCTTAACCTGATCCCTGGCTGCTCAGACAGTTTCTCTGTATTCCTCCCAGGCTTTCTGTCTTTGCTTCCACTGTCTGTAGGCTTCCTTTTTATGTTTAAGCTTGTCAAGAAGCTACTTGTTCATCCATGCATGCCTCCTGGCATTTTTATCTGACTTTTTTACTCTTTGTTGGAATGCATAGCTTCTGAGCTTGGAGAAGGTGACCCTTGAATACTAACCAGCTTTCTTGAGCCCTTCTTCTCTCCAGGGCTTTATCCCATGGTACTCTGCCAAGCAGATCCCTGAAGAGGCCAAAGTCTACTCTCCTGAAGTCGAGGATAGTGAGCTTGTGCTCCCTTCTCGCAGCCCTAAGGATCTTGAACTCCACAATTCATGTTATTATTCGTTTTGTGTTCAGAAACTTTTGAATCTTACTATGGACATTAATAAACTTTGAAGATATCTGCTTTGTAATTAAAATAAGATGCTAGCTCATAGAACTACATTCATAATAATTTTAAACTAAAATCAATGTTGTGATATACAACTGAACTTGGGCTATAAAATATACTTGAGAGGACAGGAAAAAATGCTGAACCTGCTTAGAGCTATTTTAGAGAATGTGACTCTCAAGTCTTTGAGAGAATGAATATTTACATAATTACAAACAGTATACACCTGCTGATGGGAATTAGAAAATAGAGAAGGGGATTGAGAGACTGGCTTGGTGGGCACCCAGTGACCAGACAAGGTCACACCACCACAGTAATTTTTTCCTGTTTGCTATCACAAATGACTCTCCACTCTTAAAACTAGATTAACTCCCTCTGTTTTTAGAGGTTTACATCCCTCACCCCAGAAAAGTCTACTATATTTTTTTTCTCGTTGCAGTGTCAGAAACCAAGGAGTCAGATTTTATAGATCACTGTAGGAAATTTAAATTACTAAGGAAGTGTGAGTACCTGCAAAGGGCAAATCCACATTCATTTACATGGTGTGGAGCTCTTATCAAACACATCTGTGTCTTAGGTACCATTTTCCTTTTCTCAGAGGAAGTTAAAACCCTTTGTAACAGATTTTCTATTCCCATCATTTGTTTTTCTGTTGTTTTGGGTTTTTGTTTTTGGTTGTTTGTTTTTTTTTTTTTTTCCTACAAGAAGAAGCAGCAGCGTTAATGGGGTTTTTTGAGTATATTTTAGTAGTGTAACTTCCTAGTAGCAATTTTTTTGATTTTATGTCTAGGTTTAATTCTAAGACTGTGAGGCAAATTCTTACAAACTCATGAGAAAGAGAAACATGGTAATATTTTATTACTTGTCTGTTATTCTATACTCATTTTTATGGTCATTTCAGAGTGCTGATTCCAGACTGACTCCATCTGTGGTGAAAGCAAAAAGCCAGCCAGAACATCCAAGCAAGCTGGAATATTCTTGAATATTTCCAGGAGGCATATCACATTTCATGGAAATTGTCTTGATGTGACCTGTCCATTGTGGACTTCAGGAATCAAGCAGGACACAGTGTCAGGGTTGCAACAGAGACAAACGATTCACTGTAGCCTGATTCTTCTCTGCTTATCTTTTGCAGCATCAATCTTTTCTTTGTAGATTATCATGCTACATTAAGGATGTGGCCACAGCTGCTGAGAAGTGATATTGAAGAATCTTAAGTACAACCAGTATGGAGGACGGGCTGTGAAATGCTTTGTGAGATATTGGTCTCAACAGCAATTACCACAGTAATGCACATAGGAACCTCGAGACCTCCTGTCCTTCTAGGCTGTCCCTTTTCATATAAACATAATTTTCTCCATTTATTTCCATCTGTTCAGTCACTCTTAATCTTTTGTCTTTCTTTCTGCATCCTATGTTCCTTTTTAGGCACTTGTTTTCCTGTTCTCTGACAACTGTCTGCTCACCTTCTCTTTATAGTCTTTTCTTTATTCTTGTTGTCTCCCTCTTCTGCTTTCATGACTCCTCTGCTTTCAAAGTCTCCCTCAGGTTTCCTACACATGACAGTCCCATACTGATAGCACTCTTTATGTTGTCTCATGGAAATGCTTGTTTGGAGCACTGCTGAAGGAGTCATCTGCACCTTGACTGCTTAGAGGGGTACTTCCTGGCACCATTGCCTCCAGGCTCTGGACATGTCATTGTCAGTGGGAATATCAGGGCCTGTAAGCATTCACTTTCCTCAGAAGAAATGGCCATTTCCATTGACCACAGTACTAAGAGAGTTTGCTTCCCTAAGGATTTGGGTTTCACAGATGACTGACTTTTAAAACAAATTGCACAAGACAGGTTTAGTGTTGGATTGTGCCTATGTTCTCCTCAGCTAAATGTACTAACACATAGCCAGGTTCCCTGGCTTTCTCTGACCTGAAGGAGCTGTGGTGAGACCTAAGCCATTTACCTGAGCAATCCATACCTTCTGCCCAGTGGCCAGGCAAATGGCTCCAGCACGACATCTGTAGGAACTTGCTGCCTCCAGGACCTCCCCCCTCTCTCAGGCTGTTTTTTTTTGCAGAGAGATGTGGTAAAGCTCCCTCTGCTCTGAACAAACCTCAGGACTGAAGGCATCAGAGGGAACACATACTTATGTCAAAATGTTTGGGAGTGTTTTTTGGAGGATCAGATTGGAAGAAACGTACATATTCTCATGTAAGTAGTATTTCCTCATATTTCATTTATATAGGAGGTAATATAGAATCTGTGAGGATGAAACCCCCCCATCCTTAACTCTATGCTTGTTTCTACTTTGATTTTTTCCTTTTTCTTCCTGGCTAGCCTCACAAGTATCTTGACCTCTCAGCGTGTGTCTACCCTGCTATGTAGGGGAGGGCCCCAGAGGGGACTCAAACACCTATTTTCCACGCTCCTCAATTCTTAGCTCACTCCCTAGGTCTCTCCAAGACAGGCTTGCTATAAACCTAATTTATCCACTTAAGCTATGTAAATATGAACCAGCCAGTGACACTTGGCCTTAGAGTGTTCTTTCATTTAGAGGTATGTGCAGAGCCTGCATGTATAAATTTTTCCCTAGCAAAATATTATCAAGGAAAACATTGCTAAACTTATATCTAATGTTACATGATGTATGATGTGTTTTACTCAGCAGTAGTGATTATATTCCCGGTAAGTTAGATGCTAGCAAGCATGAGCCCATTTTGTCTTCTGTAGCAAGGCACAGTCAAACTCAGTCTGCTGGAGAATGATCTCTGTATCACATGTCAGAAGGAAAATACAGTCACATTTAAAAGCTGTGGTATGTCTATAGTAGTTTTTATGGAAAGTATCCTTTAAATACTGACTTAAGCACTTTGAATTCTTACCCTCTTAGTCTGTACAGTCTATTGTCTTCACTCTTAGGCGGTGAGTGCAGGATGCTACCAGAAAATGTCACCTGAGACCAAGGTTCCTTAGTTCTAATTCCCAGCTTTACCAGTGACTTTATTGAGTGGCTCTGGGAAAGTTACTCCTGCTCACTTTGAGAAAATTTGAATTTTACTCATAGGGTGATGTGCAGATAAACTGATGCTTATACACTGCAGAGAAACTGATGCCTATATATTGCAGACATATAGACAGTACCATACACTGGCTAAACACACCAGGAGGCATAGAAATAGGAGTAGAAACCTTACACCAGATACCAAGCAATGAAATATTCCTCTGAAATTGCTACCTAAATGCAACTTTCTCAGAATCAGTTCAGTCTTTAGATCAGTATTTTGATTTCTGTAGATGATATAAAACTGGAACAAGTGGTTGATGTACCACTATTTTACTTCAGAGTGACCTGGACAGACTGGAGAAATGGGCTGACAAGAATCTCATGAAATCCAGCAAAAGGAAGTGCTGAGTCCTGCACCTGGGGAGGTGCAGGCACCAGCACAGGCTGAGGACAACCTGCTGGAAAGTTGCTTTGCAGAGAAGGCCCTGGGGCTCCTGGTGGACAACAAGCTGACCATGAGCCAGCAATGAGTCCTTGCAGAAGAGAATGTCAAAGGCACTCAGGGCTGCATCAGAGTGTTGCCAGCAGGTCGAGGGAGGTGATCCTTCCCCTCTGCTCAACACTGATGAAGCCAGACCTGGAGTGGTGGGTCCAGTTCTGGGATCTCCAGTACAAGAAAGATACAGAGCTGCTGGAGAGAGTCCAGCAAAGAGCTGCAAAGATAATTAAGGAGTCTGACATATGAAGAGAAGCTGAGAAAGCTGGGATTATTAAACCTGGAGAGAGGAAGGCTCAGGGGTATTTTATCCATGTGTATAAATACTCAGCCGTAGGGAGCAAGGAAGATGGAGCCAGACTCTGCTCAGTGGTGCCCAGTGACAAGAGTCAATGGACAAAACCTGAAATACAGGAAATACATTTAAACACAAGAAAAGACCTTTTACTGTGAGGGTGATCAACCACTGGAACAGCTTTTCCAGAGATATTGTGGAGTTTCCAACGTTAGAGATGTTCAAACCTGTCCAGACAAAGCCTGAAGCAATCTGCTGTAGCTAGCCCTGCTCTGAACAAAGAGTGCAACAGGATAATCTTCAGAAGTGCCTTCCAGCCTCAAATATCCCAAGATTCTGTGATTTTTTTTTTTCAAGAAATAGAAATCTACATATTTCTAAATTAATTTATAGAATAGGTACAGAAAATAGCAATTTTTTTAAATTACTGCAAAATAAATGTCAGATAACAAATGTCAGATAACGCAACAGACATCATAGACATTTCATAGTTTTCCTTGAATCTTGCAGAAAGCTTTAGAAGTTTTAAGCAAGTAGGCTAAAACATTACCAATATTTTACCTAGACTTTCTTAAACCCAAAGCTAATCCAGATTTTGTATGTGCGCTAGTATAACTATACCTAATTTAATCCTTGCTATGGGTTCTGCACAAATCTGTGTGTCTTCTGCACAAAATATTCTGTGGCACAAGTAAAAACATTAAACAGCATAGAGAAACATACCTCCTCTTGGAAAAATTCTCCTCCTTTATCTTGTTTGGATCGCAGAAGCAAGGGCACTTGAACTTGTAGTTGTGGACATGCAGGCATCAGTGTTTTGCTCTGCCAGTTAACTTTTTTTACTGCATGCTGGTATTAAGTAACAAATGCTGCAAGTCAGAAGGTGACTCAGTTTATCATTTCCCTTACTGCTTTTGAACTTCCTTAAATTTCCTATTTTGCAGATGTTAATGATTTCACATGAACTGATCACGCAACTATCTCTTCCTTCCTGTTATGTTGTATGAACTAAGCAATAATAGTCACAATATGCAAACTTATTGTATTAAAATACATAAATACTCAGTGGTCTTAATACATTAATATGCTAATAGAATTACCTCTCCTACAAAGAAACACATTTTCATAAATAATATGTTCTGGAAATAACAGCAGTGTTGTGTAACTAGTCCATGTTTAAACTGCTTACAAATGGCCACTTATTTCTATCAGGACCTGACTGGCTATATATGTCATTTATAGCCTTTGCACCAGTGCAGGTTCTCTTTTGAGGAAGGTGAATCCTTAGCATGCTTTTTCAAACAGCCAAGAAAATTCTGTCTTGAATATTTGTAGGCAAAGAAGTGGCAAGGAAAATATCAGTTCCAAATTTCTGAACTTTCTCACTGTAAGATTTTGGGTTGGCTTTGTTTAGTTCATCTTAGGCTACAATATCAATGGGCTAGGTGCAAAAGTGTCAGAATTTTCAAATTAAAAGAAAATATCCAAAGCATTTACTGAATTCAGTAATGTCAAGTTTGCAAAAGACTTTGCAGTCATATAAATATGAGAGTCTAAGGCACAATGTTTGCTTTAACTTCCAGCATCTTTAGATATGGGTCTGGGTCATGATGGGCGTTAGCCACTTCCCAGTTTGTTTTACATGATATCTAGCATGCAGATATGTAATCTTCATGTAAAAGCTAATTTTTATTTCTTGTTCTCAAATGCTTATCGCAAGAGTTATTTGAATCACCCCCTACCTTCCATTCCCAACACAGGCACAATAGCAGGAAGGTGAAGATCCCCCGGGCTTCTTAGTAGTTAGTGTGTAAGAGGAAGAACTTTTCTTAACCCTGTTTTCCTTGTACCAAAATTTAATTTTTTATTTTTATTTTTTTTTACCCTGTATGTGGTCAGATCCACCAATTTACCTCACAGACATTTCAAACTGTAAATGTCTTGCTTTTCAGTCCACACTGGTGAGTCTTGCCCAGCTTTACTCAGGGATTCTCACCAGAGGGCAAGTTAAGTGAGTAATACTGAAGGCAGAGTGTGTGTGAGGCAGTGGCTCAGCTACAGAATTCGGTCTCCAGAACCATATACCTAGCATTGGCTCAGTCCTTGGTAACTTGGGAACAGGACTGGCATGTTTCAAACCTTCTACTCACTAAAGGATTTTATTTGCTTATTTTATACAGCTTAAGGAGAACATAGTACATGTGTCAGTGTGGTTTGAAATTGCCTGTTCATCAAATATGCTCTACTTGGTTACCACCAGCAACCTCAGTGACCACTACCTCTTTGTGTAACTTTTCTATAGCACCATCCTCCTGTGCCACACATATTTCTGATGCAAAGTGTGTGTCTGTGTCTGATTAATTTTGTTGAAGGGATTTACATCCTCTTGTGGTGGCATGTTTGCTCAGGTTCTGGGTAAACTGAAGGTTGTCTTACAGTGTCATCTGACCAGTACATTCAGGCTGCCTAAACAGTGGTTGAATTAGATTTAACTGATCCATTTTGAACTCTAGTTTGGACCAATTCACCAGGGCTCTGTGTCCGCCAACTGGTGCAGCCACCCTTCCCTTCTTCTCGAGGTCTGACTGCCTGTGCTACCTTGCTGGGTGATGTGGATGGTCCCTGCTTGGGGAGGGCACAGCCCTGCTGGCCCCAAGGCTGCCTTCAGGTCCTGGACAAACCTGGGACTCTGTCTCCTGGGGACCAGCTTCCTTCAGAACATATGGAATCTTTTGTGTTTCCCTTCAACAGGCCCCACCTTCTCCTGGGAACATTCATCTCAATAGCTTGTGAACTGCCACACTCTACAGACTGGTGCTTATGGTAAGCCAGCAATTATTTTGGTTTTGTTTCACATGCTGTTCTGTGTTTTATTCTAGTTCAGTATTGGCAACGTGAGTGGCTGACTCTCAATCCTAGAGTAGTCAGGGGAGACCTCTCCAGTTCTCCCAAGACAGCCCCTTCCAGCACCAGAGCTCTTGGTTCACGGGTGCAGAGTGGTCTGCTGGGATCTCATGCAGATGCTGTTCCACACTGTTGATGCAGATGTTGCTAGTCAATTTATGAATAGCTTGTCATAAATAAAAGACAGAAAATTCACTCTACATGCCTAGAAAAATCTGTTGTTAATAATGTCTCAGTTTAACATTAACATTTTCAACATTAGGAGGAGATCTGAGAAAAATACGAGGCTAACAAAAGCTTCAGAAATGTTACCAACACTTCATAAAGAAACAGTAGATAGAACAATAGTGTTCATATCCTTCAAGAAGATGGCAAATGTTAGATGAAGCTGTTTTGTAATAGACTAAAAAGGGCTACTGCAATGCAGAGATTTGTGAAATGAACAGCGCAATTTTTCAAAACTATTTAAAAATTACGTTCTATTTTTTTACCATTTCCTCTTCCAGGCAATGTAAATTCAATTGAGTAGTGGGTGATTTCAGGGTTTCTTCTGGACTATTACTTCAGCCTGTCTGGGTCCCTCTGGATGGCAGCCCCCACAGCTGGTCATCCCAATTTGGTGTCATCTGAAAACATGATGACAAGGCACTTCATCACCTCCTCCAGGTCATTGATAAAAACATTAAACCAGATAGGTCCCAGCATAGACCCCTGTGGTACCCAACTTGCCACACCTTTGGTAAAATCATACTGACCATTTCCAGTGTCTTCTTCTCTTTAACTTGCTTGGAAATGTGCTCCAAGAGGACTCACACTATGAGTTTTCCAGGTTGATAGGACAGTTGTTCTCTGTGTTGAACTTTGGGCCTTTTTTTTGAACATGGGTGTAACACCTTTCCTGAATAAGTTGAAGTGTGCTATCCCTTTCCAGGGAAAAACAGGAAGCAAAGGAGAAGTTTGTTTAGTATCTATTTAATAAGACCATAATGTCATCTCCTGAGTGGCTCGATATTGTCTTTGTCATACTTTCCTATTACCTTCCCTGCAGAGAGCAAATGAATAGTTCGTAACTCATGGCTAGGTTTTGGTGGTTTAGAGCCAAACTATGATTCACTCTGGCAATTTTAGCCAAGAGGAAAGATACCGTGAAAGGTTGTATATACTAGTATAGTCTAGTACAACCCCATTACTCTTTTAGCAAGTGATTGTGAGCATTTTAACTCTGGCCACTGCAGCATACTGAGAGAAATACAAAGATGGTTTGCATGTGTGTTCAGCATGAACTCGCCTCATTAAGAAATTGGCCTTGTTGTTCTGATCTGCTGCAAAAAGCTTCCCAGGTGAGTCTTTGACCAAAAGGCAATCATTAACCAATTAGGTGTGCCAAGAGCTGTTTGCATCCAGCTACACTAGAAGTTGGACAGCGTGGGGGATCACCCCTGGCTGCACTGGTAACTGGAAGGCTCTCTAGCACTGGAACATGTCCAGGAGCAACTGTTGTCAGCACTGATTTGGCCAGGATTTGCAAGTAATGTCCTGAGCAACTCCTGGACATAGTCCAGAAGTTAGCTCAGATCAGGGCTAATTTCTAAAGGCAATTTGCACGTGTCCACTTTATTTAAAGGTTTAATAAATTGGATCTGGGCTTTTGCATGGCAATTGGCCTCAGTGCAAGAGAGTAGTCCTGGGAATATTTAGTCTAATAATCAAATGTCTAGTATGATTGTAAATCTTGTCTAATAATCAAATAACTATATTCAAATATCTAGTATTGAAATCTGAGCCTCTGAGTCTAACAGTGAAAAGCAGTTTTACACCAAAGCATAAACCTGATGTATCAGTGATTCCCCACCCAGTTATGAAATACATTGTGAGACCCCCAAAATCTGAATCTCAGAGACCAAAACCAGCAGCAAGATATATGTGTTATCAAAATTATTGGGGCTACTTGGAGGAATAAGATGTTTTTCTTGTGAATTAAAGTGCTCAAAGGCTAATTCTGTTAAGGGAGGAAATCACTGAGCATTTGCTCTTTGAGTCTTAAGACAATCTTAGAAATCATGGTGAGCTTCTAGCATTACATCCTAAGGTAGGAACAAGTAGATGGTTCACCAACTAACCATCCAAACTGGGGGAGTCAGATGAGAAGACTCTTGGTGCAACTCTAGATCAAGGCTGAGCCTTTCATGGAATTACACTAAGAAAAGATAGAATTTCTGTCTGTGATTACCTGCTCAGATTCTGACTTCCTTGCTGGAATATGCTTGTTTCCCAAAGAAAGAAGCCCATTAATCAGATTGTACCAGTAAAAATAGTTTGTTGCTGTGTTCCTGATTTCTGTCAAGGGTATCAGGAGACACCCCAGGAAGTGAGGGTATTTGTCTCTTGTCTTCTGTGATGACCACATGGTCTCTACTGATTACTTATCTCTTACAAGGGCTTCCATTGTCTGCCCATTGCTACACTTTACAAGGGATGCAGATATTAGTTTTTTTGCCAAGTCCTGATAATACTGTATTCTGTAGAAATGTTACTTAATGTTCTTTGCTTGCTATTCTTTTACATGTGGAGACACTATGGCAGTATGTGATAAAGACATGGCTATGCCCACTCTGGTATATACCCACACAGTTAAATCAAACATTGAAATATATTCTTTGGGTACCATTTAAATACAAATAGATCAAATATTAGGGTTTTTTGTCTCTTTGAAGTGAAAAATCTCCCTGATCCTGGCTTAGCAAAGTAAAAGGGTGAGAGAGGCTGTACAAATTAAGAGGCCATTTGCAAAAAGTTGGAGCCCTCACCACAGAAGGAAAACAGGAAAGTGTGTGAATTCTGACAGGATAAATACAAGAGCAAAGTAAGTCAGGTCAAAAACACTTTTTAAGGAAAAACCTGTTA